TTTATTAATTTTCATAAACATTTACAGAGACTTTGGGCTTCCACTCATTCATTGTTGCACTTGTGCAGCACAGTTGACTCTGGAATTCATGGGCATCCTCAGTTAGAAGCACCCCGACAGTAACTGTTTCTTGTTTGTCTTTTGTTTGTTTGTAGGTTTGTTTGTTTTACCATTTTTCCCTTTACCACTAAGTCAATGCAAACTCATTACAATGCAAGATGACAGAGTAAACAGAGCCTTCCAGAAGGTTTCCAAAGCTGCAAATGTATACAGACATAAACCATTGTTGTTTTCTTGTGAAGCAGCTGGTTAATATAAATCACTAAACTTCTAGATATCAGGCGAACGCTTACTCACCTAGTCACTAGGACAACTATACTAATCTAGATCTACTACTTACTAGCTTTGGTGGCCTAGTAGGAAAGGAGTTGCACTGCCAACTCAACAGTAAACTGTTCAAATCCACCAACTGCTCCCCAGGAGAAGATAGACCATCTCCTCCCATTCAAATAACAGCTTCTGAAAACCCCCTGGAGAGTCAGCTATGAGTCGATTTCCACTCGGCCTTAATGGCACTGTGAGTGAACTATTTCACAGGAAGGACATTAGGCATTTTATTTATTACTTCTATGATTATTGAGTGAGCTCTGGTGGCCTAGTGAGTAAGGCATTGTGCAGACAACCCAAAGATATGGTTCAGAATCTCCAGCTGCTCCGTGGGAGAAAGATGGACAGTCCCCCTCCAAGGCCATTTACTGCTCTGAAAAATCCACTGGAGAGTTATCGTTATTATTGTCATATGCTTTCAAGTTGGAACCAACTCATGGTTGACCCTCTAGCAGGTTTTGAGAAGCTGTGAATTGTGCGAGAGAAAACTATTCATCTTTGCTGCAGCTGGTACCGTCAACTGCCTGCCCTCGGATTGGCCTTGCAACTCCCTAGAACTAAATGACCAGGGCTCCTTCTTAGTAGAACCTACTTCTGTGATGCGGATGGAGTAATACTTTAGGCCCAATGGAGGACTTTCATTGACTGATGTGACAAGACTCAAAATGAGGAAAAACAGCTGGATGGTCATTTTAGTACCACTGTAATGGCAACAATGGGCTCAAGCATGGCAGAGATTGTGAAGACAACACACCTAATACAACAGGTTTTCTATCTCATTCTTCCGAGGGAGCTCTGGTGACCTGGTGGTAAGAAGCTGTGTTATAATGCCTAAGGCACTCAGTTCAAATCCAACATGTGCCCTGAGGGAGAAAGAGGAAGTCAGCTATCAGTCTGTTCCAACTCAACAGTATACAATGTTGTTGTTGTTGTTGTTGTTGTGTATCACAAGAGTCAGAACCAACCCATAGCAGACCCTCCGGCAGGTTTTCAGAGGCAGTCATCGCACAGGAGGAGATTGTCCATCCTTCTCCCAGACAGCAGCTGGCGGCTTTGAACTGCTTCCCTTTGTGATTGCAGCACAGATTCTTGCCACTAGCCCATGAGAGCAGTCAATGTGATGGCACAGTGCAACAGCAACTGTGTATGTGTGTGTATTTATGTATATGTATGTACATATGGTTTTACAGTTTCTAAAAGTTGAGGGTGATATCTGAGCAGTATTTAGCTGTAGGAATGATGTTATATGGAGGAAAGAAGTTAAAAGCTTGCAATTGTAGAAAATGTTGATGTGATTTGTCCTCAAAGTGACACTCACTCCTATCTGACCCTTCAGAGGGTTTTCAGAGGCAGTAAATCACATAGGAGGAGGTTGCCCATCTTTCTCCCACAGAGCAGTTGGTGAATTTGAACTGAGAGCCTTTGAGTTGGCCGTGCAGCTCTTTACCGCTAGGCCACCAGAGCTCCCTTTAGTAGACATCACTGGTCCTGTTTTCCTGACGTGGCATCTGACAGTGAAAGTCAGCGTCCATCCTCCGAGCAGATAGTGGTCGAGCTGCTTC